GAACAGGCCGCCCTCCTCACGCCTCGTAAAATTTAGATTATATTCTATCCTATCTCTTTTTTTTTCTCTATTTTACCGCACATTTCTCACTGGGTAGTGCCTTGAAAGAATTCTTTTAATATATTTTATAGTTAAAATATACCCATCGATGGTAGATTATACTATGATGGATATATTGTGTCAAGGGGTGGATAGTGTCAAGGAGTAGATAGTGTCGGGAGGGAAGGGGTGGATAGTGTCAGGAGGGGAGGGGTGGATAGTGTCAGGGAGTAGATAGTGTCAGCAGGGGAGGGGTGGATAGTGTCAGGGAGTAAATAGTGTCGGGAGGGAAGGGGTGGATAGTGTCAGGAGGGGAGGGGTGGATAGTATCAGGGAGTAGATAGTGTCGAGAGGGGGGGGGGCGGTGGATAGTGCCAGGGAATGTATAATCTTAAGGATTTATAATGTTAATTTTAGACAGAATAAAAAAATATCAAGTTCCCCCCCCCCCCCTGTATAAATAACTTCCTCCGGCTCGTCTTAGTAAATTCAAGAATGAAATAAAACAATGAAAGAACAGTTGTTTTTATTGCGTATAAGATGCTTAGATATTCTAAAAGTAGATGCATGTGTAGGAAATAATTTAGTAAGTATCTAACTTAAAGCTAAGAGACTCATAGACAGGTCCGGGACCATCAAAATATACACAGCTTCATTAAGTTAGAAAGAGACTTTCTAAGGCTTAGACGCGAGGTGCGGGAAACGGATTATTGTCGACAAGCTTGGATAAGCTTTTTTTTTTATTGTGGAGGCAACGTTTCGCTCTGTGTAGTGGTTTATCACGTCACTTTGACAGAAACACTGTCTCAGTGTTGTCTTGATACATACATGAGTTTGGGGTCACGTAACAATGTATATTAACTCAGGGTTGCATAATGGTAAATTTGATAATGATATTCACACATAAATGGATTATAAGTGAAGGATTTAGGTGTTGACTTGTATATATAAAACTATTTAGGAATTTTGAAAAAGGTAATTGTTTACATAAGTTTCAAACCTATCGGCTAAACAAGGGCCATTTCACCTTTACGCCACCATTGCAGGATACTTAAAACTCTCAGTGTATATATACACACCTACAGACACTCCTATCTGTAATTGTAACATGGATATATGATTTTTTGTATTGTGTAGTTAATAACAAAAAAAGGCACAATACCGTGACTGGAACGATACACAAATAACCCGCACATGAAAGAGAGAAGCTTACGACGACGTTTCGGTCCGACTTGGACCATTTACAAAGTCGCACTGTGTGTGACTTTGTAAATGGTCCAAGTCGGACCGAAACGTCGTAGTAAGCTTCTCTCTTTTATGTGCGGGTTATTTGTGTATTGTGTAGTTAATGCTGCATAGACATTTTAAATACAATATATTCAACTTTGGTTTATACAGACTTGATATATTACGTTTTTCCTCGACATATCTGTATGATAGAGATGAATTGCCGAGATGTGGGTAGAGGCCTGTGTGCGCGAGCAGTGTGAAGATTTCGGTGCTTTTCACTCCCTGGTCTGTAGTGTCGGTCCATAGTGCTGGTCCATAGTGCCGGTCCATTGTGCTGGTCCATAATGCCGATCTATAGTGCCGGTCCATAGTGCCGATCCTCATCAAACAGAGCACCTGCAGGTCAGTGCGGCATGGCACTCTCGTGACTGGATCTTTGCACTTGAGCTCAGTACACAACATAGTGTCTCTCATCCCAAGTGGTGTTGTAGTAGCATGGAACTCCATGCTGCTACAGTACCAACATAGAGCGCCTTGCTGCTACAATAGTAACATAGAGCTCCATGCTGCTACAGTAGTGACATGGAGCTACATGTTTGTCAGTAATATGGCAGACAGCTCCACAAAAGCTTAAAGACAAAATGAGCTTTTACTTGGACAACGTTTCGATCTGCGAAAAGCTTTATCAATTCATGGTAAATCTGCACTGAGCGAAACTTGTCCAGTTCTTCTGTATCTTGACTTTGCCTTCATGTCTGATTTTCAACCAGCACAGAGGCTGCTGGGCACGGGAAGAAACGCAGCTGTATCGCAAACTATGAAGGGAAGCCCATTTAAAGGGGTTAAAGGGGGCTCTTTAACCAAGGACGCGTTGATGCTGCTGACTATTGGTTTAAAAATGGAGCTACGTTTTCCTCCAGTTCTTGTTGACTTAGTGGCTCCGACGGCTTGTTAAACCTTCGTGTTGGTAGTTTATAGGGCCACAGACATTTCACGCCGTATCTTCTTGTTGGTGATTTACAGGGCCACTGACAGCTGAAACCGTGACGAGTCTTTCATATTTTAATGTCAGCTGCCTTGTTCCAGGCGGTGCGTGAGACCTTCAAATGCTTACCTCTTATCCATGAGTATAAATTAGACTGAATGGAGTCATTAACACTGATAATGTTATTCTCGTTTCGTTCCAGAGTTTCTACACCTTTCATCAGGAAGTCTGGTGGGCAGGATTGAAAAGGGGAGGAGATATAGTTTTCATTGTAGCTCCACTTTTGTTTAAAAAGTATGAGTTACCACTAGTGTTTCGTAACATGGAACTCACAGGGTTGGGTGCTGTTCGAGTTACCACGACTGTCGTGTTACATGGAACTCAAAGGGGGTGATGAGGGTGTTGCGTGAGGTACAGTGAGACAAGATGGGAAAACGCAGGTTAGTTGTTTAGTGGATATACTCGTAGTGTTTAATCTTTCTCACTTCGAGGCTCTGTCCTAAGCTTGTCGGATAACCAGTTTCTCTCTTAAATAGAGCTTTATCAATCAGTCTTACGTTTTATCATTTTTCTTCTAGTTGTCCAGTTGAGGAAGGGAGTATTGGTTGCACCTCATAACCAACTCGCGTGTTACTTATCTAATCCTCCATCTTTCCACAACACTCCATCCTTCCGCAAATCCTTCATCCTTTCATAACTCCACCCTCGACCCGCACCATCTTTCTAACACCTTTCTCAGCTCTCCTACGTATTTATACTTATCTAATACACAAGACACCGTTGACTAGCAGTGAACAATATAATCTGTACAGATATGGAGAACTCTTGGTGCTTCAGCTGGATGGATATACACTTCTCAGTGCCCAGCTGAGAGAATGTACGCTTCTCGGTGCCCAGCTGAGAGAATGTACACTTCTTAAGTTCTCAGCTGAGAATTTCGAAGAAAGATGTCCAGCGACATTAAATATAAATTAATTAATGACGGTGTACTGAGCACACACAGATATTGGTGCTGAGAAGAGCAGAGAGTGGTCTGAAGGACAGCAGGGTTACCAGTCCTCTTAAAGATTGGGAAATTATTTACAGATTAGAACAAAAAGTTGTTAAACAGCAAAAAGAAAGACCTTGTTTTCTGTCAGTTAATATACGCTGTCAGGCTGCACCCTTCATCTCCACATTACAACAGTAATAGATATATATTTATCCATTAACATTGCAGGAGCTGAGCTACAGACAATGCGCATTTGGTGGGAGGTTGGGCGAAATGTGACCTTGTACGGGAGATTTGTTTACGAGCTAACATGGCTGCCAATGTGTTCGCGTCGCCGCCATGTTTAAAGTCGTCGGCAGTGTTGGCACCACTGCGGCTTTGCAAATGGCAACAAGCGCGTCATCAATCACCTGGTGTGACTAATCACTTCTCCCGCCTGGCCACCTTATTCTTCATTTTTTTTGGGGTGGGGGAGGTCGTTCAGAAGTGAGTGGTTGATCAATCGGCTGACATGTGCGTTAATCGCGGCAGATAGGTATTAATTCAGCGAGACATTCTGTTGAGATTGAAGCTTGACGGGAGGGCTGCCATTACCAGGACCACAGTGAAGTGTGCCCTCCTGGTCTTACCTCCACCGCGGGAGGGCTGCCATCACTAGGACCACAGTGAATTGTGTCTTCCTGGTCTTACCTCCACCACGGGAGGGCTGCCATCACTAGGACCACAGTGAAGTGTGTCCTCCTGGTCTTACCTCCACCACAGGAGGGCTGCCATTACCAGGACCACAATGAAGTGTGTCTTCCTGGTCTTACCTCCACCACAGGAGGGCTGCCATCACCAGGACCACAATGAAGTGTGTCCTCCTGGTCTTACCTCCACCACAGGAGGGCTGCCATCACCAGGACCACAATGGAGTGTGTCCTCCTGGTCTTACCTCCACCACAGGAGGGCTGCCATCACCAGGACCACAATGAAGTGTGTCCTCCTGGTCTTACCTCCACCACAGGAGGGCTGCCATCACCAGGACCACAATGAAGTGTGTCCTCCTGGTCTTACCTCCACCACAGGAGGGCTGCCATCACCAGGACCACAATGAAGTGTGTCCTCCTGGTCTTACCTCCACCACGGGAGGGCTGCCATCACCAGGACCACAATGAAGTGTGTCCTCCTGGTCTTACCTCCACCACAGGAGGGCTGCCATCACCAGGACCACAATGGAGTGTGTCCTCCTGGTCTTACCTCCACCACAGGAGGGCTGCCATCACCAGGACCACAATGGAGTGTGTCCTCCTGGTCTTACCTCCACCACAGGAGGGCTGCCATCACCAGGACCACAATGAAGTGTGTCCTCCTGGTCTTACCTCCACCACAGGAGGGCTGCCATCACCAGGACCACAATGGAGTGTGTCCTCCTGGTCTTACCTCCACCACAGGAGGGCTGCCATCACCAGGACCACAATGGAGTGTGTCCTCCTGGTCTTACCTCCACCACAGGAGGGCTGCCATCACCAGGACCACAATGAAGTGTGTCCTCCTGGTCTTACCTCCACCACAGGAGGGCTGCCATCACCAGGACCACAATGGAGTGTGTCCTCCTGGTCTTACCTCCACCACAGGAGGGCTGCCATCACCAGGACCACAATGGAGTGTGTCCTCCTGGTCTTACCTCCACCACAGGAGGGCTGCCATCACCAGGACCACAATGAAGTGTGTCCTCCTGGTCTTACCTCCACCACAGGAGGCTGCCATCACCAGGACCACAATGGAGTGTGTCCTCCTGGTCTTACCTCCACCACAGGAGGGCTGCCATCACCAGGACCACAATGGAGTGTGTCCTCCTGGTCTTACCTCCACCACAGGAGGGCTGCCATCACCAGGACCACAATGAAGTGTGTCCTCCTGGTCTTACCTCCACCACAGGAGGGCTGCCATCACCAGGACCACAATGGAGTGTGTCCTCCTGGTCTTACCTCCACCACAGGAGGGCTGCCATCACCAGGACCACAATGGAGTGTGTCCTCCTGGTCTTACCTCCACCACGGGAGGGCTGCCATCACCAGGACCACAATGAAGTGTGTCCTCCTGGTCTTACCTCCACCACGGGAGGGCTGCCATCACCAGGACCACAATGGAGTGTGTCCTCCTGGTCTTACCTCCACCACGGGAGGGCGTCTATCATCTAAGACCGTTACCCATTGCCAGCAGCAGTTGGATGGGTGGTCCTCAGTGTGCGCTTTCACCCAGGTCAAGAGTGACCTCCAAGTTTAAAATAGAATATATAAAACAGAATAAGGGTTACTTGACGCTGGTGAAGCGCTCTCGTTCTATGGAATCGGAGCTATCCTTCCTCTTCTATGGACCAAAGCTCATGACCCCTCATTCCCCAGGTGCTCCCCCAGTTTTCCTTCTTGTTCTCAGCTCCCCCAGTTACACTTTGTGTTACTTTCTCTCACCTCTAGTTCCAGTCGCTTGAGGGGAGGGGGGGGGGGTCCTTGAGGTGAAGGGCTCTTGATCTAAGGGATCAAGCCTGATTTCCTCTCACTTCTCAGGGTACTATTTGACCCTTGAGGATTTAGCGCTTCCCCCATGTATATTAGAGTAATTTAAAGTCATTATTTTTATAACAGTGAAATAAAAGTTCCTTCAGTTTTAAGGGTCCTTTACTGTATAGCCCTTGTGGTTTAGCACTTCTTTTTTATTATAATAATTTTACTTCCAGGTCCTTCAACTTTAAGGGTCCTTTGCTTCTAGGTCCTTCAACTTTAGGGGTCCTTTACTTCCAGGTCCATCAATTTTAAGGGTCCTTTGCTTCCAGGTCCTTCAACTTTAGGGGTCCTTTACTTCCAGGTCCTTCAATTTTAAGGGTCCTTTGCTTCCAGGTTCTTCAACTTTAGGGGTCCTTTGCTTCCAGGTCCTTCAACTTTAAGGGTCCTTTACTTCCAGGTCCTTCAACTTTAAGGGTCCTTTACTTCCAGGTCCTTCAACTTTAAGGGTCCTTTACTTCCAGGTCCTTCAACTTTAAGGGTCCTTTACTTCCAGGTCCTTTAACTTTAAGGGTCCTTTACTTCCAGGTCCTTCGGTTTTATGGATCTCTTCATTTAACTGTTTTAATTTTTGGAGACCGGCACTTTTCCTTTTAAGAGGCGAAACATCGGACATTTTCTCTTTGCTGTCACTTTGGCTTCCAGTTCTCTTAGATGGCAGTCAACATGGGCGAAAAGTCAGGTGAAACAAAACATGTTTAGCATGGTAACAGCGAGACTTTATTTTGTAAGTCATTATTTGGAAAAACTCACCTCTGAGCGAAACGTTGCCTAAAGAAAGGTTTGCTTTGCTAGTGTCTTCGTATCGCCCTGCAGTTCTTTTGGCTTAAAGGAGGATTGTAGAACAGTGGTATAACTTGCCAACAAGTTGACCAGGCTCTGATTCACCGCGAGGCCTGGTCATGGACCGCGAGGCCTGGTCATGGACCGGGCCGCGGGGGCGTTGACCCTCAGGAACACCCTTTAGGAATACTTCACGAAGTATGTTAATGTGGCCCACACACTACCTTTAGCGCATTTATTAAGACAACGTTTTGCCTGTGTGAACTGATCAAGTAGCTGGTGCGCATAAACCGCATATTGAGTCCTCACGGGAAATATTTTAAGTTTCCATCTCCCAAATTCTGCACTGCTTATTCCCTTTACATCCCCTTCCTCCCCCTCCCCCCCCCCTCACACGATGGCCTTAGAATCTGCAACACCATATTCTTTGGGGTATTTAAGGTCATTCTTCCACGAACTTGTTGACATACACATCGTCAGGAGATCGAATAATAATTCCTGGGGCATTTTAACCCCCTGACACCACAAGTTGGCCAGCACATCACCGGAGACCTGCACACGACACTCGCAATGCCTGCTAGAACAAGGCTATTAAATCGTACAATTTAAAAAAAAATTAGGACATTTTCTAAGCTACAGTAATAGGTGGGGTTTGCTCCTTATGTCTCTCCGTCGGTCTGACGTCCAAACGTGTTCAGTGAAACTGTATTTTTCAAAGCATATTTTTTTTATATAACACTGTTATATTGTTAGGCGAAAGTAGTCTTGTGTTTTCACATCTCTCAACTGCAAGACTGTTGCAACTGTTCATTCAAACTGTTAAGCACAGACAAGATTGTTTACACTCGCTACAGAACTCTCTAATTGGCAGAGTAGTTTCACAATGTATTGTTTCTCTTCTTTTTGCGTAAAGTATATTGATACTGTGTTAGGAATGCTACTCTAAATAACACGATAATATTTATCAAGATATTCTGCTGTCGTGTTATATTTACAAACCTCCTTTGAAACTATATTTTTCTATATTTACAAACTGAGAGTCATTTATTTACATTCCTTTTTGGCTTTCTTTTTGTGGCTATTGTCGTATATACAAGTGATGTGATGAAAGCAACGGCTGTCCTTGTGTTTACACTGTCTAGGTAACATGTGCGTGCTGCTCTTTCAATGCGGCAGCCGCAGGCGTCCACACGCACGACATTGCAGCGATGTACTGGTGAGTGTGCTCCCGTGTGTGTGTATATATATATATATATATATATATAGTGCGCTTTTATGCAGGACTTCATCTCTTGGGAAGGTACCTAGTACCAGATGCAGCTCTAGGAGCAGACGTAGCACCAGGAGCAGGTGTGGCACTAGGAGCAGGTGTGGATAGTCTTCATGTACTTGCATGTCTTGCATTTGACGACGCAACACCATTGGAAGGTGCAGGAGCACCTCTCCTCTACCTCCACCACCTGTGTGTGGTACTCTCTACCGCAGCACATGAGGTCGCAACCATCCACGCCTATGCTGGTCTTGTTGCACTCTCTGCCCCGCGTCCCGATGATGCCTGTTGCAGAGAGAGGGCAAAGAAATATGTTAGTCTGGTGGTTCTAGGCACTGGCACTAGTGTGTTGACCCTCCTGTTAGTCTGGCCTGGTATGTGCTCATTACGCTTGTGATCTGTGGATTCGTGGTGGTGTTTGCCCCTGGGATTATTGTAGTGAAACTGGTGTTAGTATGATTGTCCCAAAATGTTATAATCGCTCTCTCTCTATCTCTCTCTCTCTCTCTCTCTCACCAAAATTTCACACTTAAGAGAGAGGCCTCATGATGTTTTGGCCTGTCCTAGTCGCAACTGAAGCGAGTAAAGTAGAGAAGGCCTGAAGGCAATACATGGGCGAGGAGGAGGGAAGAAGAGTGTTGGCAGTAGTAGTAGTTGTAGTAGTAGATGTAGTGGTAGTAGCTGTAGTAGTAGTAGTTGTTGTAGTAGTAGAATTTGTAGTAGTAGTTGTAGTAGTAGAAACCCTGTGTAAAAAAAAAAGTATCTCCTTACCAAGTTGTTGGTTCCTGACGCAGAAGTCGGGAGACTCCTCCAGGTAGACCAGGTCCTTCTTGGAGGGCGGCTTGTGGTCAGGGTTGTAGGGACGGAAGAGTCTGAACGACTTCCTCCTCCTGCGCCTGCTCTTGCGCCTGCGATTAGGGCGGCGGTCGTTGGGCGTGCGCGGGCTGCCCAAGTTCTTCACCAGTACCCGAGATGCTCCGTCGAACCGGTCCTGGCGGAGAAAGAAATTATTTTCATTGAGAACCGCACTCACAAGAGAACCCACAAGTACTGGGAACAGTACTCGCAGTTGAACCCACGAGTACTGGAAACAGTACTCGCAGTTGAACCCACGAGTACTGGAAACAGTACTTACAACAGACAGAAGAAGAGGTAAGACAACTACTGAATGAGGCAGATACTTTGAAATAATTGGAACTAAACAATATATCTGCAAGGATTCTGAAAGAGGGAGCTGAAGCACTTTGTGAACTGTTACTTAAAATCTACAGTAAATCTGCATCTGGAACTGAGTTACCAATGAAAGACTGATCTTGCAGTTAGTATAGTTGGAATAATAAGCAAATTAATGCAGCGGATGAGAGACTTACTGTTGAAGAGTAAAATTAAAATGATGATAACAGGAAGAATGTCCTGGTGAGATGTTACCAATGGGGTGCCACAAGGATCTCTACTTCATCCCACAGTGTTTGAAAAAAAAGACTAAAACTAATGTGATGAGTAAGACACAAGTGCAGCACTACTACTATTACCATATCCAGTGTTAAAGTCGACTGTATTCAACTGAAGAAGCCTGCTGTGCAGGCGAAACGTTCCGAGAATGATAGTCAAGTTTTGCTCTTGTGTCTTATACATCAACTTGTCGGTACTGTATACTATTAATAATAAAAATCTATGTGAATACCTTTTGGCTTGAATAAAAAATCTCAAACTACGTAAGCAATAAAGTTTCTAAATATCCCAGGAGACGACTTGATTCTTCTTAAGGTCTTACCTTGAGGGCATCGCCCACCCTTCTGAAGTAGGGAAGTCTCCACCAACAAGTCTTGACGGTGCAGGAGCCAGACATACCGTGACATTTGCACTCCTTCCTCATGTTGTCCTTCACATGCTGCGAGAGACAGTCTCTGTTAGTCTGTAGTGCCAGTGGGATGGAGGGTATTATTGGAAGGAAAGGTGCCAGTGGGATGGAGGTAGGTTATTATTGGAAGGAAGGGTGCCAGTATGAAGGGATGATGCCAGTGGGAGGGAACATGCCTGGGAGTAGGAAAGGTGTTGGTTGTGTCAAGAAGGGAAGGCACCAGTTGGAGAGAAAAAAAACTATGTTTAAATAAAGTAACAAGTTGGAACCCCATACAGTCCAAAATTTCCAGTGTTGAGAGGTTTGAAGCCGATCAGAAGAGGCGTTTTCAAGTTATTACACAGGAACCAATATTCCAGTTTACTTATGTAAAATGACATTTATGCCTCTTAATAACAATATGAATTTTCCTGAAATTTTGAAACTCGATGTGAGGGATTCTTATGTTGTCAGACTCAAACACACAATCAAAATTTGTTTGTTAAAAAAAAAAAAACTATAAAGACCTTCCTATGATTTTTCAAATTATTGTGATTTTGTCAGTTAAAGTGTCAAATTGACACGTTGTTGGGATACACTAGCTAGGGAAGTTTGAAGCCTATCAGAAGAGGCGTTTTCAAGTTACCGAGTGTAGGGAAGAATCAAAGAATTTTTAAAATAAAATGGTCAAATTGGCACCCACACAGCTGATAACACATTCAATCATTCCATGTAATTGAGTTCGTCAGTGTTGGAAGTTTGAAGCCTATCAGAAGAGGCGTTTCCAAGTTACCGCACAGAAGCCTTGGAAGAAGAGCTGATGCCACAACCACGACACCTATAGAATTTTCGGGGAGTAGCCAAATAACCCGAAAGTGATTTTGCAAATAACGCAGTTTAAATAACCTTCAAATTTCCGGCAAATACATTTATATCTTACGATAGTATCTTACGATACCTTACGATAACCAAGAAGAATAAACCACTTACGATCCTATTATTCAGATTACAAAGCGTAGAGTACTTAATCAAAGTAAGGATCACTGATTAGTATTGGTGAAGCTGTAAAGCATTTATATAAGCTTTCATATAAGCTTTTATATAAGCTTTTAATATCACGGGTGTTAAGGAAGGTTTGAGAGTAACAAGTTGCATCACGCTTATTATGCTCCAACATTATCATAATTACTTATCATTATTTTTTTAACGGAAAGAAATCAGGTTTAGTCTGGTGAGTGTTGATGTTGTGAGAGTTGTAGAGCGGTTGTGAGAGTTGTAGAGCGGTTGTTGTGTGAGTTGTAGAGTGGTTGTTGTGTGAGTTGTAGAGTGGTTGTTGTGAGAGTTGTAGAGCGGTTGTTGTGAGAGTTGTAGAGCGGTTGTTGTGTGAGTTGTAGAGTGGTTGTTGTGTGAGTTGTAGAGTGGTTGTTGTGAGAGTTGTAGAGCGGTTGTTGTGTGAGTTGTAGAGCGGTTGTTGTGAGAGTTGTAGAGCGGTTGTTGTGTGAGTTGTGGAGCGGTTGTTGTGTGAGTTGTAGAGCGGTTGTTGTGTGAGTTGTAGAGCGGTTGTTGTGTGAGTTGTAGAGTGGTTGTTGTGAGAGTTATAGAGCGGTTGTTGTGTGAGTTGTAGAGCGGTTGTTGTGAGAGTTGTAGAGTGGTTGTTGTGAGAGTTGTAGAGTGGTTGTTGTGTGAGTTGTGGAGCGGTTGTTGTGTGAGTTGTAGAGTGGTTGTTGTGAGAGTTGTAGAGCGGTTGTTGTGAGAGTTTGTAGAGCGGTTGTTGTGTGAGTTGTGGAGCGGTTGTTGTGTGAGTTGTAGAGCGGTTGTTGTGTGAGTTGTAGAGCGGTTGTTGTGTGAGTTGTAGAGTGGTTGTTGTGAGAGTTATAGAGCGGTTGTTGTGTGAGTTGTAGAGCGGTTGTTGTGAGAGTTGTAGAGTGGTTGTTGTGAGAGTTGTAGAGTGGTTGTTGTGTGAGTTGTGGAGCGGTTGTTGTGTGAGTTGTAGAGCGGTTGTTGTGTGAGTTGTAGAGCGGTTGTTGTGTGAGTTGTAGAGTGTTTGTTGTGAGAGTTATAGAGCGGTTGTTGTGTGAGTTGTAGAGCGGTTGTTGTGAGAGTTGTAGAGTGGTTGTTGTGAGAGGTTGTAGAGTGGTTGTTGTGTGAGTTGTGGAGCGGTTGTTGTGTGAGTTGTAGAGCGGTTGTTGTGTGAGTTGTAGAGCGGTTGTTGTGTGAGTTGTAGAGTGGTTGTTGTGAGAGTTATAGAGCGGTTGTTGTGTGAGTTGTAGAGCGGTTGTTGTGAGAGTTGTAGAGTGGTTGTTGTGAGAGTTGTAGAGTGGTTGTTTGTGAGTTGTAGAGCGGTTGTTGTGAGAGTTGTAGAGCGGTTGTTGTGTGAGTTGTAGAGTGGTTGTTGTGAGAGTTGTGGAGCGGTTGTTGTGTGAGTTGTAGAGCGGTTGTTGTGTGAGTTGTAGAGCGGTTGTTGTGTGAGTTCTAGAGCGGTTTGTTGTGTGAGTTGTAGAGCGGTTGTTGTGTGAGTTGTAGAGCGGTTGTTTGTTGAGTTGTAGAGCGGTTGTTGTGTGAGTTGTAGAGCGGTTGTTGTGAGAGTTGTAGAGCGGTTGTTGTGTGAGTTGTAGAGCGGTTGTTGTGAGAGTTGTAGAGCGGTTGTTGTGTGAGTTGTAGAGCGGTTGTTGTGAGAGTTGTAGAGCGGTTGTTGTGAGAGTTGTAGAGCGGTTGTTGTGAGAGTTGTAGAGCGGTTGTTGTGAGAGTTGTAGAGCGGTTGTTGTGAGAGTTGTAGAGCGGTTGTTGTGTGAGTTGTAGAGCGGTTGTTGTGTGAGTTGTAGAGCGGTTGTTGTGAGAGTTGTAAGAGCGGTTGTTGTGAGAGTTGTAGAGGCGGTTGTTGTGAGAGTTGTAGAGCGGTTGTTGTGAGAGTTGTAGAGCGGTTGTTGTGAGAGTTGTAGAGCGGTTGTTGTGTGAGTTGTAGAGCGGTTGTGTGAGTTGTAGAGCGGTTGTTGTGTGAGTTATAGAGCGGTTGTTGTGTGAGTTGTGGAGCGGTTGTTGTGTGAGTTGTAGAGCGGTTGTGTGAGTTGTAGAGCGGTTGTTGTGAGAGTTGTAGAGCGGTTGTTGTGAGAGTTGTAGAGCGGTTGTTGTGAGAGTTGTAGAGCGGTTGTTGTGAGAGTTGTAGAGCGGTTGTGTGAGTTGTAGAGCGGGTTTTGTGATTTGTAGAGCGGTTGTTGTGAGAGTTTGTAGAGCGGTTGTTGTGAGAGTTGTTAGAGCGGTTGTTGTGAGAGTTGTAGAGCGGTTGTGTGAGTTGTAGAGCGGTTGTTGTGAGAGTTGTAGAGCGGTTGTTGTGAGAGTTGTAGAGCGGTTGTTGTGAGAGTTGTAGAGCGGTTGTGTGAGTTGTAGAGCGGTTGTGTGAGTTGTAGAGCGGTTGTTGTGAGAGTTTTAGAGCGGTTGTTGTGAGAGTTGTAGAGCGGTTGTTGTGAGAGTTGTAGAGCGGTTGTTGTGAGAGTTGTAGAGCGGTTGTTGTGTGAGTTGTAGAGCGGTTGTTGTGTGAGTTGTAGAGCGGTTGTTGTGTGAGTTGTAGAGTGGTTGTTGTGAGAGTTGTAGAGCGGTTGTTGTGGGTTGTAGAGCGGTTGTTGTGTGAGTTGTAGAGCGGTTGTTGTGTGAGTTGTAGAGCGGCTGTTGTGTGAGTTGTAGAGCGGCTGTTGTGTGAGTTGTAGAGCGGCTGTTGTGAGAGTTGTAGAGCGGCTGTTGTGAGAGTTGTAGAGCGACTGTTGTGTGAGTTGTAGAGCGGTTGTTGTGGGTTGTAGAGCGGCTGTTGTGAGAGTTGTAGAGCGGCTGTTGAGTTGTAGAGCGGCTGTTGAGTTGTAGAGCGGTTGTTGTGAGAGTTGTAGAGCGGTTGTTGTGTGAGTTGTAGAGCGGTTGTTGTGTGAGTTGTAGAGTGGTTGTTGTGTGAGTTGTAGAGCGGTTGTTGTGTGAGTTGTAGAGCGGTTGTTGTGAGAGTTGTAGAGCGGTTGTTGTGTGAGTTGTAGAGCGGTTGTTGTGTGAGTTGTAGAGCGGTTGTTGTGTGAGTTGTAGAGAGGTTGTTGTGTGAGTTGTAGAGCGGTTGTTGTGTGAGTTGTAGAGCGGTTGTTTGTGTGAGTTGTAGAGCGGTTGTTGTGTGAGTTGTAGAGCGGTTGTTGTGTGAGTTGTAGAGCGGTTGTTGTGTGAGTTGTAGAGCGGTTGTTGTGTGAGTTGTATGAGAGGTTGTTGTGTGAGTTGTAGAGTGGTTGTTGTGAGAGTTGTAGAGCGGTTGTTGTGTGAGTTGTAGAGCGGTTGTTGTGAGAGTTGTAGAGCGGCTGTTGTGTGAGTTGTAGAGCGGTTGTTGTGTGAGTTGTAGAGCGGTTGTTGTGTGAGTTGTAGAGAGGTTGTTGTGTGATTTGTGGAGCGGTTGTTGTGTGAGTTGTGGAGCGGCTGTTGTGTGAGTTGTAAAGCGGCTGTTGTGTGAGTTGTAGAGCGGTTTGTTGTGTGAGTTGTAGAGCGGCTGTTGTGTGAGTTGTAGAGCGGTTGTTGTGTGAGTTGTAGAGCGGTTGTTGTGTGAGTTGTAGAGCGGCTGTTGTGTGAGTTGTAAAGCGGCTGTTGTGTGAGTTGTAGAGCGGCTGTTGTGTGAGTTGTAGAGCGGTTGTTGTTGTTGTGAGAGTCTTGTACAGCAGCTGTTACTGTTGAGAGTCGTGTACCACTGTTGTTAGTCTTGTGAGTCATGTACAACAGCTGTTGTTGCTGTTGTGAGAGTCGTGTACAGTAGCTGTTGTGAGGTACTGCTGTTGCTACTGTTGATGTTGTTACTGTTATTGCTTTAGATCCAGCTGCTTATGTTGCTGCTGCTGCTGCTTCTTTTCTTGTTATTACTGCTGCTGTTGCTGCTTGACACGAAACTATTAAGTTCCGGTGGCTGACACGAAACTATTAACTTCCGGTGGCTGACACGAAACTATTAACTTCCGGTGGCCGACACGAAACTATTAGCTTCCGGTGGCTGACACGAAACTATTAACTTCCGGTGAATGACACGGAACTATTAACTTCCGGTG